GGAGGAAGGTTATTTTTAGTATTTGTGGAAATGTTCTCAAAGGAAATAGGAGCTTAGGAGTGATCACAAACCCTCTTCTCTTGGTTGCACAGGACTGCTCACCAACTCAACTGGTATTTTTCTCTGAAACCTTTTAGATAGCAATAATACTTGTTTTCCCTCTCTAACTAGAACCACAAAGCTTGTAACTTTCTTCTCTTCTCCTGACATTACTAAAGAGGAAAATTAACTTAGAAATGACAAAAGTAATTTTCTTTGATTTTGGTGGAATATCAACTTTCCAAAGCTGTCATTGGAATTATCACTATTTAAGGACATTTGATTTGAATTACATGTGATTCTGTAGGCTACTGCCAATCCTTATGAATGAGGCAAAGTATAAATATAAATATATTTCTTTGATATTTGCAGTTGCTTTGCCATGATTTACTAAATAAGGAGAGAGAAGAAAAACAAAATTATTCAGAAAAACATTTCTTTTTGCAAATGGGTCACTTGTTCTCCTGTAGGGCACAGTGATAATTCATAGACAGTTTTATCTTTCACATTCATTTTCATGTCATCCTGGAAATTACTCTTCATAAATTATGATTTTCTGTATAGTAATCCTTTAGGGACCGGGAAATTGGAATTCAGTTTCTGCCTCCTCTTTTTCCCCACAATAGCCACAGTACCTTTATTATTCCCGCAGAGGCCCTGTTGTCTGTGTATGTCTTTTCACTGGATGACTCTTCCCTTCCTAAGCTGTGAAACTTAAAGCTGATCATCCTACTTTTATTTGTTTATTTATTTATTTTTGGCTGCGTTGAGTCTTCGTTGCTGTGCACGGGCTTTCTCTAGTTGCGGCGAGCGGGGGCTACTCTTCATTGCGGTGTGCGGGCTTCTCATTGTGGTGGCTTCTCATTGCGGAGCACAGGTTCTAGGCACGCAGGCTTCAGTAGTTGTGGCACGTGGGCTCAGTAGTTGTGGCTCGCAAGCTCTAGAGCACAGGCTCAGTGGTTGTGGTGCACGGGCTTAGCTGCTCTGCGGCACGTGGGGTCTTCCTGGACCAGGGCTTGAACCCGTGTCCCCTGCGTTGGCAGGTGGATTCTCAACCATTGCGCCACCAGGGAAGCCCTGATCATCCTACTTTTAGTAAGCACCTGATTGCTGCAGAATATAGAGCAATATTTTTAGCATTATGGAGATGGTTATGGACCCCTTTGAGAATCTGATGGAAAACTATGGATCTTCTACTCAGAAAAATATGTATTATATACAGAATTCTGTTTACAGTTTCAGGGGTTCATGGATCTCACTCATTACCACTCCATTCAAGAATTTCTGGTGTAGGGACTTAACTGGTGGCACAGTGGTTGAGAATCCGCCTGCAAATGCAGGGGACATGGGTTCAAGCCCTGGTCCAGGAAGACCCCACTTGCCATGGAGCAGCTAAGCCCATGCACCACAACTACTGAGCCCGCATGCCACAACTACTGAAGCCTGCACACCTAGAGCCCGTGCTCCGCAAGGAGAAGCCACCGCAATGAGAAGCCCATGCACCACAACAAAGAGTAGCCCCCACTCACCACCCGTGTGCAGCAACGAAGACCCAGTGCAGCCATAAATAAATAAATAAATGAACAAACAAACAAATTTCTGGTATAGGTAGGGTTAAGAAAATATCTGTGTAATTTTATTTGTTTTTGGTGGTGTTAACAGTGGTTTGCCAACTCCACCACCATCTTTGATCCAAAATATTATACTTCAGTGCCACTTTGCATATAATAGAGTTAATAATAGAGTTATAATAGAGTTAAATAGCTGAAACCCTTGTAGCTCTTGAGAGCATGGACTGTCAAAAACTGAGAACAGACGCAGCTAGTAATCAAAACACACAGAGAAGTATGTCAGCTATATAAGTGTATTTTTTTATATTCTGGGGGCTTTATTAGTGGGTATTTATTTTACTTTTTTAGGGTTTTCTTAATACAAATTTATTTATCTTTGGCTGCATTGGGTCTTCGTTGCTGCACACAGGCTCTCTCTAGTTGCAGCGAGCAGGGGTTACTGTTTGTTGTGGTGCGTGGGCTTCTCTTTGCGGTGGCTTCTCTTGTTATGGAGCACGGGCTCTAGGCGCACGGGCTTCATTGCTCCGCGGCATGTGGGATCTTCCCAGACCGGGGCACGAACCTGTGTCCCCTGCACTGGCAGGCGGACTCCCAACCACTGCGCCACCAGGGAAGCCCGAGGTCACATCTTTTAAATGGTTTAAAGTAAGAGAAAACTTTGCAAATGTATAAACTAATTTTTCCTTGTATTATGAGAGCACTGAGATATTGAAAGCGTTGGTGTATGTTTAGGTTTCAAAACTGAAGAGCTGAATTCTTATTCTATAGGCTGGAGTTTGAGGGATGAGTCAGGTAGGTAGGTATAAGAGCCAGGATACTGCAATAAGCTGATGTTGTACTGGCCTGGTGAAGGAGGGCTCTAACCTGTATGCAGCCTGTTTTCTCTAACATCATGCATTTCTATCAACATGAAAGCTTGTCTGATAACTTTTGCAGTCTGTGTCCATCAGTACTTTGAGGACCAACCTACTGGTGGCCCTAGAAGATTAGAACTCAGAAACTTCAGCTTCGGTCTTCTTATCACTCAGACTGTTCTTGACTGTGAGCCAGCTCTGGCTGTCTTTATACATGTCCTGAATATCTTTTGGTTGACTGCGTTTTCTTTCTGGTTTGTGTTTGGCACAGTCAGCTTGTGTGAGGACACAGCTTTACTTATCTTTTATAAAGAATAGATGACCTGGGACTTCCCTGGTGGCTCAGTGGTTAAGAATCCGCCTGCCAATGCAGGGGACACGGGTTCGTGCCCTGGTCCAGGAAGATCCCACATGCCGCGGAGCAACTAAGCCTGTGCGCCACAACTACTGAGCCTGTGCTCTAGAGCCCACAAGCCACAACTACTGAGCCTGTGCTCTAGAGCCCACAAGCCACAACTACTGAGCCCGAGTGCCACAATTACTGAAGCCCGCGCGCCTAGAGCTCGTGCTCCGCAGCAAGAGAAGCCACGGCAATGAGAAAACTGTGCACCGCAACGAAGAGAGCAGCCCCCCGCTCACCGCAGCTAGAGAAAGCCCGCATGCAGCAACGAAGACCCAGCGCAGCCATAAATTAATAAATAAATAAAAGAACAGATGACCTATGCTTGTGAGAGATTTTAACTGAAGGAGACTTATTTATTTGTATAAAAGCTTGCAATAGTCAGAGTAGTTATGGCACGAGAACTTCACATGTGGTATATTTTTTATCCGTTACATCCTGATAAATAGTACATTTAATTCAAGTGTCACCTCCTCTGTGAAGCCTTTCCTAATTCTGCTTTCCTTCTTACATCCCAGAATTGGCCACTTCCTCCATTGTGCCTCTACTGAGCCCTGTATAGATTTTTTCACTGCATTGTATTGCCCCATTTGTTTATAGTCTATCTCACTGTGCTAGACCATAACTTCTTGAGGATATGGTCTATATCTTACTCCTTTCTGTGTCTAGTGCCTGGCACCTAGAAGGTACTCAAAAATGTTTTATGAATGATTAGGTGAATGAACAGTATGTTAAAGAATATTATAAAGCAATTAAGGCAGGGAGTAAAAACTCAGATGCCTTCAGGGTCCAGGCGTAAATGAATTAAGCAGACCTGGTAGGGACCGAGGTAACCTGGGAAACACATGCCTTATCTAAAAGGGACGGCTGCTACTCAGATCCAGCCCATCGGTGCATTATGAGAATGTTATAACTGTGTTGCCACATCTTTTACTTTTTTAAGAGAAGCCAGACATTTGGGTTTTTATATGAAATCTCTTGATTGTTGAATGTTGCCAACTAAGATTTTTTTAAAACTTTTTATTGAGGTATAGTTTACATACAGAAAAGTGTATATATTATGAGTGTACAGCTCAATCCATTTTCCCAAACTGAAGTGATTTTTTTTAATTGAAGTATAATTGACCTACAACAGCATGTTAGTTCTAGGTGTACAATACAATGATTTGACATTTCTGCACGTTATGAAACGATCACCACCTGAACTGGTTTTTTTGTGAGCCAAATAAAATTGGATTGACCTGCAAGCCACCAGTTTGCAACTTGTGACAAAAACTGTATGGGGAGCTGTGTAGTTTGGTTAAGAATCACCTAATAGATTAAAGTGTCTTACATCAGTCAAATGCAGTGTGTGGACCTTATTTGGATTATGATTCCAAAAAATCAAATGTAAAAGAACATTTGTAAAACAGTTGGGGAAATTTGAATGTTGACTGGCTGTTTAATAATATTAAAGAATTATTGTTTACTATTTTAGGTGTAATACAGTTGTTTGTTTTTTTTTTAAATAGACTTTATTTTTTAGAGCAGTTTAGAGCAAAATTGAGCAGAAGGTACAGAGTCCCCATATACCCTGTGCCCCTACACATGCTCAGCTTTCCCTGTTATCAACGTCCCCCACTAAGGTGGTACATTTGTTACAATCAATGAACCTACATTGACACATCATTATCACCCAAAGTCCATAGTTTACATTAGGGTTCACTCTGGGTTATTGTACATTCTGTGGGTTTTGACAGATGTATAGTGACAAGTATCTACCGTTATAGTATCATACATAGTTATTTTTTTAGAGTCCTTAAAGACATACTGAACAATTTATGGATGAAATGAAATGCTGCAATTTGCTTCAGAATAATTTGGGAAGTGTCAAAGTTGGTGTAAATGAAACAGGGTTGACCATGTATTGATAATCATTGACACTGAGTAATGGGTACATGGGAGTTCATTTTATTAGTGTCTCTGTTTTTGTATGTGTTTGAAATTTTCTACCTCCAAAAGTAGAGCAAGAGTGCAAGTTAAAGCTGAAGCATGATTCTTTGGATCTAGGGTAATGGGGCACTGCCGCTGGTGACAGAATGTAAATTTCTGGAACTGAAGTCTGCAAAGGTAATGGCATTCTCTTTTCATTTTTAGGGCCTGAAAGTCAGTATACCAAGACTGCTCAGGAGATTGTGAACGTCTGTTACCAGACATTGACTGAGGTAAGTGGTAAAGAGGAGGTCCCCTTAGGATCTAGCTTTCTGGAATCCCTTTGTTCCCTAGAGTGATGAGGAGGCCTTCTCTGCCTATCCTGTTTTAAAATGTAATATCCCACCCCAAACCTCAGCCCACATCCCTTAGTTCCTTCCCTGCTTTATTTTCTTACCTAGCACTAAATGTTTTTAATAAACTATGTAATTATTTACTTTAATTACCATATGTGTCCTGCCACTAGAATAGAAGCTCTTCGAAGACAGGGATTTTCATTTGCTCTTTTTACAACTTTTGTATCCCCAGTGTCTAAAACAAATGTTGAATGAATTCACTAATTTTCTTTATTTCTCAGTATGATGAGCATTTGACTCAACTTGAGAAGGATATTTGCACAGCTAAAGAAGCAGCTTTGGAGGAAGCAGAATTAGAAAGCTTGGACCCAATGACCCCAGGGCCTTACACACCTCAGGTGAGTCTGAGGACTAGAAGCCTCCTCTTACAGTTTTCTTTTTGGTTTGGGAACTTGGGAGCATGTTAACAGATGTATTTACTGAGATACCCTTCTTCTCTGTCCTTCCTCTTCATATGCCTTTCGTGTGCTTTCTTGTCTTCTCAAAGGCTAAGGTGAGTGAGGGCCGTGGGTCTTGGTAGCCTTGTTGAATCCAGAAGAGACAGATATGGGATGAATGAATGGGGTGGGGTCTTAGTTGTTTAGGCAGTATTTAGGAATACCAGATTCCTGACTACCATGGCCAGAGGCATTCTCTTGAGTCTCTGGGGCTCCCTTGCCTCATGCATTGGGGTTCTAGGACATCCCTAGAGTATAGACATGGGCCACATTGTTCCTGTGCCTTATAGATGCCTGATTACTCATTCCTTCTGAGATCTCAGTGTAGCTCAGATGTCACCCATTTTCCTGGATTGACTCGCTCTCCCCATAAATGAAGACAGGTAATGTTTTATAATGTTCTTCAATTTTCATGTGAAAGACTAGAGAGCAAGATTAATAAGAAATTTTTAGTCTTTCTGATCTGACCCTTGAATATACTAAGAGTCTCTTTCATGTATACTATACTCTTAGAGGGCTGGTATATTTGAATAATAAGACTTACCAGAATATAACTGTCTTGGAGGCACTATGGTAAAGTGGAAAGTACATGAAGGTTGGTATAAAACAGTCCTGGGTTTGAGTCTTAGCTCTGCTGCTGTCTAGCTTTGTGCACTTGGGAAGTTAAGTTAACCCCTTTAATCCAGTTTCCGTTTCTCTAAAATGTACTTTTCAAGATTGTTGTAAACATTAAACAAGGTCATTTGCCCAGCACATAGTAGACATTCAGGAAATGTTTATTTTCTTATCTGTATGAAAGTCACCTACAGGGTTCTCAGAGGCCCTTTCAAATTTAACCAAATATTCTAATGCGTATTTCTCCCAGTTCCCACTGGAAAACGTTTTTCCATTCTGCTCAGGTTTCACTCTGAACTAATAATGCAACCTGTGTGATCTCTGTTGGATAATTGCTGTCTATATCTCATTCATGCACTCTCCTTATCTATCTTTTACTCTCTCTTTCACCCCAAAACCTAGGCCACTGAGGGGCCAAGTATAAAGAGCCCTAAGATACATCTTCCAGGCCCAGAACAAGGAAAGGCTCTTGGAGTGTGTGGGCAGATTGGGTCAAGGGGGCTTGCTTGGGTGAGTGCTGTTGCCCAGGAAGGTCCTATTTGCTAATAGGCCCACAGCTTCCACAAGACCCTTTGTGGTAAGTTAAAGCCTGGGTTTTAGCCGTCATTCCCCAGGAGAGTCTAACTACTGAGTGGCGTGTTTGCTCTGCTCTATGACAGCCTAAGGCTAGCCCTTTGGTGAGTCAGACCCTTAGACCCAGAAGCCATCTTCCTTTCTTCCCTTCCCCTCCCACACTATCTCAAATGGTGGAGGAAAACCTGGCAACTGTTCTTCCTCCGGAGCAGTAGCTGTTGTTTTGTGCAGTTAAGAGGATCTCCTGTGAGGAGTAGGGTGTAGGTATTGCCTCTTCATTATTCCAGTTCACTCTCTGATCATTGCCTTCACTCATATATACACGTTTTAAATTAGAAAGCCCAGTGCATTATTTCTAAACCTGAGGAAGATGCGCATGAGTGATTGTCCTTACTCATAACTACTCTCAAACCCAAATGCTATTAAAGTGTGTTTGTGTAAGTTTAACCTGTCATAATACAATTTTGTTGTGTAGAAACATGACAGTAATCATACTTTACTTCCAGCTCTAAATGGTGGTAATCAATAATGTATTTTCACTCAACTATTTCTACCCAGCTTGTATTGCACCATACATTCAGCTTAACACTTTCTCTAAAATTGCTTGCTTTACATTTTCCCACATAGCGTTTCATTCCCTGATTTTCTCTTCTTTTGTTCCACAACTAGTTTATTTGCAGTGTAATGCTTTGAATTCTGTTTTGCCTCTCTTTCTCCAAAACCCTGTTCCCAATCAGCCTTGTTTGTTTGCTTTAAAAACAACAACAACAAAACCAACAGCAAAGTAACGCATGTGGGTTTTTTGTTGATAAAAGTAACATGTTCATTGGGACACATTGGAAAATATACAGAATAAATAAGTTACCTAAAATCAAGTCCACCAGTCAGAAAGAACCAACCACTGAACATTTTGGCGTGTTTCAAATCTGTAATGCGTGTACGTGTGCGTTTATAGACACTTTTTTTTTTTTTTTTTTTTGTTTTGCGGTATGTGGTCCTCTCACTGTTGTGGCCTCTCCTGTTGTGGAGCACAGGCTCCGGACGTGCAGGCTCAGCGGCCATGGCTCACGGGCCCAGCTGCTCCGCGGCATGTGGGATCTTCCCAGACCGGGGCACGAACCTGTGTCCCCTGCATCGGCAGGCGGACTCTCAACCACTGTGCCACCAGCGAAGCCCTATAGACACATTTTTAAAGTGAAATTGGTCATTATGATCTTGTCTTGTTTTCGCTTCACATTATATCATGAGCATTTTATTTCATTAAATAGTCTTTGAAAACATTTTTAATAGCCACATAATATTTCTACCCTCAGCCAGCTTTTTAGAGAATGCTTTCCTACTTTTCCAGCCTGTTCTTTGTCCCTCCTGCCCTCCTTTCACTGAATAGACAGTTTGTTAAACCCCTGTTCTCTTCAGGAGAGGGAAGAAGGAAGGAAGCTATAATTTGTTGACTACCAAGCATTGGGTAAGGAGCATATACACATCTCTTAATTCTCCCAAACAGCCTTGTGAGGTAGACATTATCATCCGTGTTTCACAGTTGAGGAAATCAAGGCTTAGAGAAATTAAGTAATTTGTTAAAGTTACTCAGCTAGCAAATGGTAGAGCCAGGACTCAAACCCAGGGCAGTTTACTCCAAAGTCCATGGTTTTTCACCATGCCATTTTGCCTCGTAGCATCCTCTGGTGAGCTCATAAGCTCTTACCCCATTCCATGCTCTGGTTGGAACTGAAATTTCTTTATCCCATTTTCTATTAGATGTCTCTAAACCAAACAATCTAAATGGCACTGGTATGAAGCCCTGGGCCTAAAAACAATAAGACAAGGCTTAGAAGAAATGAGGTTATTGACCATAAAGGCTGTTAGGACATAGAATTGTCCCATAGCTTTGATGCTTTTCTGCTTCAGGCTTCTGATCATATGCATCAGATGCCTCTCTGCTAGAATGAGCAACATTTGTGAGATTCCCAAAAACCTGTCCATAAAACTATGTCAAAACTATGTTTTCTCTTTAAATGGATTGTTCTGCATGACCTTTTTCTGCAGTGAATGCTCTAAAGGGGAGTTCTCTGTATTTCTTGTTCCCTTTACTAAATAGAAGCTAAGTTGTATGATTTGTGCCACAGCCTCCTGACTTGTATGATACCAACACATCCCTCAGTATGTCTCGAGATGCCTCTGTATTTCAAGATGAGAGCAATATGTCTGTCCTGGATATTCCCACTGCCACTCCAGAAAAGCAGGTGACACAGGTAGGATATTCTTTTTCTCTTTGTGAGATTGGTAGTATGCTTGGGGGTAGGGGATGGGGGAGTGATGGTGGTGATGTGTGGACATGTGTCAAGGATGATGATTGGACACCTTGGCCCTGGGAATGAAGGCCTGGAAATGTGATTTCAAGGTGGGACGGTGGCAGGTCGCATGACTGGCATTGTCTTCTATCTGTCACCATGGGCAGAGTCAGGCACAGCAGAACTTAAGGGAAGGTACAAGTGTGAAAAATGTGTGAGGCATCACAGCAGCCTGACAGGTGATTAGAAAGACCAACTGCATTCAGAGACAGAGTTCAAAATAATTGCCCTGCTACTTTACTGTATATGAGTTACCTAAATTAAAGTTATTTTTAAAATTAAGTTTTTTAAGTTGGCCTTTTCTTGAGGTATCAGCAGATACTCCTGATCTGAATCCAGAAATCTTATCAGCTGATCTCAGTCAGGGTTCCACTGGAGAGTGCAAAATCCAGGAGGGTTTTTCTGTCCCAAAGAGTCCAACACAAGCTAGGGAAAGCTTGGTTTAGAAAGGAGGAGTCTCCTTGTGATGATACAGTAATAGTAGACCAAGGCCTTCCTGTTCTTTGTTTTTTTTTCTTTTAACCCTACCTGTGATTTCCAAAAAATGAATGGGGGAAAATGCACATGTAAACAGCCCCCACTAGCTGTGGGGTTGGCTGGGATATCAGGGAGGAGCATCGGTCCTGAGTGAGAGCCCTTGGTTAACTCCTCCTACTGGCACGTCCCTCAATGATGTGCTATTTGTGTTCCTTACTCAGATGCGCCAGGGCCGAGGTAGGCTGGGCGAGGAAGACTCTGATGTAGATATTGAAGGGTATGATGATGAGGAGGATGGGAAACCTAAGACTCCAGCCCCAGTGAGTATGCTTACAGAAAGCTTATGGTTACATTATACCCTTATATGGTAGGAGCCCCAGTAGTACAGGACAGGCCAAATCCCCAGGCGCTATCAGAAGGTCTCCATAGTGAGGCCCAATCTGACTTTAAGAACCAGCTAAACAAATCTATCCACCAAAATTATGTAACTTCTTGTAAGGCAGCAAGGGGGGTGCGGCTGGTGGTGGCTTCTGGTCTTTTACTTGGTCGATTAATGGGACTTTGATCCTCAACTGGTCTCATTTAGGAAGGTGAAGATGCAGATGGTGATCTTGCAGATGAAGAGGAGGGAACTGTGCAACAGCCTCAAGCCAGTGTCCTGTATGAGGATTTGCTTATGTCTGAAGGAGAAGATGATGAGGAAGATGCCGGGAGTGATGAAGAAGGAGATAACCCTTTCTCTGGTACGTAGCTCACCATGGCACCCTCAGGACTTAGGAGGAAGCTCTGGGCCACATATGCTGTTACCAGAAATTGCTCTTTTATTGAAGTCCCGTTAGTAGACCTCAGGGTACTGAGCACTCACTCATAGGCTGATCAAATTCATTAGTCTTAGAAGAGGTGAAAAAATACAACACAGGAGGTACAAAAGATGACAGTCAAAAAGGCAATGCCAAAGCAGCGGTTTTGATTTAAATACTTGATAAAAACGAGATAGAAGTGTTATATGTGGCAATAGGGAAGGAAAATGAAGAAAAAAGATCCTGCTTTGGGATTTTTTTGTGGACTAATGGCAATGGCAGGGGATGAGTATAGGAGGAGATGATGGGAGGGGAAGAACAGATAGATAGCACTGAAATGGAAAAAGGAAATGATTTTTTAATTCTCTTTCCAAACTACAGATCTTGTCAATGTTGACCCTAGGCAATCCTCTGAGGTGAGGAGTCCAGGCAAGATGCCTCTGTAGATGCATGGGATTAACTAGTTCTGGAAGACTAAGCCAATGATGTTAATTCTTTGTCAAACTTTTCTCAAGATCTGTCTCTTTTCACAGCTATCCAGCTGAGTGAAAGTGGAAGTGACTCTGATGTGGGATCTGGTGGGATAAGACCCAAACAGCCCCGCATGCTTCAGGAGAACACAAGGATGGGCATGGAAAATGAAGAAAGCATGATGTCCTATGAGGGAGACGGTGGGGAGGCTTCTCATGGTTTGGAGGATAGCAACATCAGGTAATTGGTAGCAACACACTACAGGGCTGTGGCATCAGTGCCCAGCTATGATGTCAGAGGGCCCAGCATCAGATTACTTTCATCCATCAAACATTTCCTGAGCACCTACTAGGGCCAGGCACTGTGCTAGGCCCTTGGGGATACACAGAGGAGCAAGACATATCCTGCCCTTGAGGAGCTCACAGTCTAGTGGAAGAGACTGATACAACGAAATTATTACAAATACAGTGTGATAAGAGCTACATAGCATAGGTTAAGTACAAAGTGCCAAGTCACCACTGAGGAGGGAGTATCTCGCTCTGCTTGGAGTAATCAGGGAAAGTGTCACAGATGAGGGAACATTTGAACTGGGCCTTACAGGATGAATAGGAGTCTACTAAGTAGATAAGTGGCAGCAGGTGAGGAGATCCTTAGAGATGGAACAGTATGTTCAAAGGTGCAGAAATATAGCAAAGTAAATTCCAGACAGAAGGGAGGTTGCTGGGCGTTGTGACTCTAGAAGTAGCAAGGGATTATACTGTAGAGGACCTTAACTGGTATGCTAAGACACTTGGATTGTGGTTAATGGGAATCATCACTTTAAGAAAAAGAAAGTAACATCAAATTTGTGTGTTAAATAACTCTAGGGCAGTGATAAGGAATTCAGCTAGAATCTGTTAGGAGTGGAAGAAAGGGAAGGGACATATTCAAGAACTGTTCAGAGGGTAGATCAATTGGATTTAGGAGGTAAGGAGATTAGATATATAATGAATGGGAATGTCACTGAGAGAAGAAAGAGGAAAAACAGGTATTAGATGGAGTGGGAAAGGAGGCAAAAAATGAATTTGTCTGTGGACATGTTGGATTTAAGGTACATATGATACATCTAAGCCACAGGTATCCAGCAAGCAGTTAAGAGTCTATTCATCTAGCAAATATTTACAAGTACAAAAGCAAGGATGTTCTTGCTTCAAGGAGTTCAGTCTAGTGGGAAATCTAAAACAGGCAAACAGATGATGATCACAGTGTAACAAGAAAAGTGCTCTGATAGGCAGCGACAGGATTTTTCTGGGACTTGGGTAGGAGTGGAGTAGGGGAGCTGGTTAGAGAAGCTGAGCTGAATCAGAATAGGAATAAGCTAAATGAAAAGGAAAGTGAAGGACATTCCAGAGACTAAGAACAGCATGTATGACGACACAGAGACATGAAACACTTCTAGAGAATGCAAGTAGCTCAGTGTGGCTGGAGGTTTTGATCATGATCCTTGTAATAGAGACAGTTTAAAGAAGTAGGTAAGGACCAAATCATGAAGGGTCTGAAAATTTGGGGCAGACATTGAATGAGCGTAGTATGATCAGATCTGTATTTTGGAAAAGTTGCTCTGTGCCCCAAAAGAAAGATGGGCAAAAGCCATGAATTAACAGTTTACAAAAGAAATGCAAATGGCCAATAAATATATGAAAAATTAGCTTCCCTAAGAAAGAAATGCAATAAAACAATGAAATGCAATTTTTTTACCTATAAGATGGGCAAAGATTAAAATGAATGATAATGCCCAGTGTTGGAAAAGGCATGAGGAAAAAGACATTCTGAAATGACTGGTTGATAATGTAAATTGAAAGGGGTAGGTGAGAGGGATACAGCAATTTATCATTATAAATCAGAAACTTAAAAAGCGTGCATCCCCTTTGGCCCCCACATTCCATATCTAGGAAGTTATTCCATGGGAACAATAAAATACCTTCATCAAGATGTTTGTACAAGGATGTTTATCACAGCATTGTTTCTAATAGTGGGAAAATTGAAGACAGCTTAAATGTTCTAGTGAGAGACTGAAATAAATCCTGTTACAGCCATACAGTGGAATACCATGCAGCTATTAAAATGATGGTATAGATGTATGTTTATTGACATGGAAGATGTTCATTATAGACATTAGTGAAAAAGCAGATTCCTGAAGAGTATGTAGAGTATTCCAATTTTGTAAAGAAAAAGAAAATGTTTAAGCATCAAAGTGAAGTGCATAGAAAAAAATTTGGAAGGTCATATACCAAAAGATTATCTCTGGGTGGTAGAGTTATTGATGTTTTTTTTTCTTTTTCTTTTTTTCTGGTGTATATTCTAATTTTTTTTTAATCAGTGAACGTGCATTACTTGTGGTTTTTTTTTAAGTAAAATTAAGAATAAACAAACAAACAAAAATAAACAGCACTCTGGCAGAAATGTGAAGAATTAATTGGGGGAGAGCAAGACTGGAGGCATGAAGACTGATTTCAGTGGTGCAGGCGGCCAGGGATCACAAAGGACTAAGCCAAGGCAGGCAGAATAGGGCTGGAAAGGAGGGGATAGAGACAAGATATATTGAAAAGGTAGAATCTTCAGGACTGTTGACTAATTGGATATGTAGATGAGTGAAGCTGTAAGTGGCAGACGAAACTATGAGGCTCTCAGAGCATTTATGGTCATGTAAGCTGGCAGTGTGTTGTTCAGGTGTAGGGGAGTTTCTTTCATTCAGATTCTTGCGTATATGAAGTTGGCAAGTTGATGTTTTTGAATAGGATCATTTTTCTCTCAGAGACCTGTAGAACAGTCCAGAACCATCATTTTAGTGTCCAGGGGAGGTGAGATGGGCTGATCCCTTGGTGGCACCAAGAACGGGACTGGTCAGCTAGAGGATGGTGTCCGAGCTTGAGAGATGACATGTTTCTCTTCTCAGTTATGGGAGCTATGAGGAGCCTGATCCCAAGTCGAACACCCAAGACACAAGCTTCAGCAGCATCGGTGGGTATGAGGTATCAGAGGAGGAAGAAGATGAGGAGGAGGAAGAGCAGCGCTCTGGGCCGAGCGTACTAAGCCAGGTCCACCTGTCAGAGGACGAGGAGGACAGTGAGGATTTCCACTCCATTGCTGGGGACAGTGACTTGGACTCTGATGAATGAGGCTTCCTTTGGGCCTCCTTGGTCAGCCTTCCCTGTTCTCCAGCCTAGGTGGTGGTGGTTCACCTTTCCCCCATTTGTTTATATTTGTACAGTGTCTGATCTTGAAATCACCAGATTAACTAGTACCGTAGCCTTTAAAAATTAGTAAGTAAGGGCTTCCCTGGTTGAGAGTCCGCCTGCCAATGCAGGGGACGTGGGTTCATGCCCTGGTCCGGGAAGATCCCACATGCCGCAGAGCGGCTGGGCCCGTGAGCCATGGCCGCTGAGCCTGCGCGTCCGGAGCCTGTGCTCCGCAACGGGAGAGACCACAACAGTCAGAGGCCCGCGTACCACAAAAAAAAAAAAAAAAAATTAGTAAGTAAGTAACTGATAAAAAATCATCTCTTCTGATCTTCCTGGGGGCAGTGCCACCCTTTGATTTAAAACCAAGCAACCCCCTTCCCCCTACCACTAACAAAGAGTAATCTTCTCCAGTGCCCCCTTTAACTCCATTTATTGCTCTTAGTATCATTCTTTCCTGGGGAAAGAAGAGAAATCATGAAATAACTAATAACTTTATGTCCTCTTGATGTATTAGAAAATTTCCAAGCATGGTATCATCTCAGTTTTCTAATTTGCAGGCTGGAACAGGGGACAGCCCCTCTGCTGGGACAGAGAATTGGATTCTGGTGGACTCTATGCCACACTAAAAACATAAACCTCTTGGACAAACTGAACTGCCCATTATTTTATTATTTATTTGATTATACAATGCCTTGTTCCTAAATGGATTGGAGGCAAATAACTATAAATGTTTGAAACAGCCTATATGTCAGAAATGATATGTTGCCATGTAAGTGCGTTCTGTCCCTCCCCCCCAGGGGAAATGGTAGGGAAATGGTAAGTTCCTTAGGGCGAAGACTGTGTCTTCTGTTTCTTTTCATGCTTAGGATATGGTTCTGTGCAGAGTAGGTACTCAGTAAATGTTCCTAGAATCATAAAATCCTCAACAGATTCATTACTGAGCGTCTGCTCCATGGTAAGCATTCCATCAAAACCTTGGGATGCAAAATTAAATAAGACGCATTCCTTTCACTCAACAATATCACCATCAAGTTGGGGGAGGGGGAGTGGAATTCAAGACGTTAATAAATCATTACAGTACTGTGAGATAAGTGCAATTAAGAAGCTAGATATAAAGTATAGGGGAAAATAGAAGAGTGATCATGTCTGAAAAAGTCAGGGAAGTCTTCCTAGAGGTAATTTTTAAGCTGATTGTTGAAGAATTAATTAGTAGGAGCTTGCCAGATGGAAAAGTGCAGGCAGAGTGTAACATGAAGTGAAAAGGACGAACTCCAGAAATGGCAGAGTGTGTTCCTAGTTTGTTTGTTTGTTTGTTTGTACCAGCCTTGTTCCAGAAAGGATTTAAGGTGGTTTATGTTCCAGTCCCTCAAATGCTGGAATGGCTAGAGATGAGACTGAAAGATGGATAGGAAGCATATCGTCAAGAGCTTTGATTTTGATGCTAATGCATATGAATTCATATTATGAGAAATGAGGTGCTCTAGTGGAGTGATATAATCAGATTTGTGTTTTAGAAATTTTCTGTATATTAAATGAGGAAAAATTGAACAATCATGTAACAAGTGTGATACCGTTTTTGTAAATGACAAAACCCATGTGTGTGTATTTATATGTGCTTATATACATGTGTATATGCAAAGGAAAAGATCTGAAAGGATATACACAAAACTGTTTGCAGTGATAACCTCTGGGGAGTGGGATTGGAGGGGAGGGGGATTGGAGGGGAGGGGGCTATATGCTTGTGTGTATGCTGGGTGGGGTATTGTGCTTTTATTTCTGTATTTGAATTTTTTACAAGAATGTATGATTTTTGGAATAAAAAAATTTAAAAAATTCCAGCACTAGTGCGGAGAGTGGTTTGGAGAGGGGCAAATCTAGTTCAAGTATGGGGTAGTGGAGCCTGAACCAGGGCTGTGGCATTAAGATGGGGAGGAGGGGGATGAATTTGAGAGCTGTTTAAGGGATAGAATCAACAGGACTTGATGACCAATTGGCATTTGGGAGTGGAGAAGGAAGAATGAAAGGTGGCTTCCAGAATTTTGGTTTAGCTTGATTGGATGGGTACATGGTATTCATTCATTCAGCATTTATCGAGCCACCTATTTTTATCAAGTAGTCTGCTAGATGCTGATACAGACGTTAAGATACAGTTTCTGATGGCAGGGCACTTAAGGTCTAGAATGAGTGGTAGACACATAAATATAAATAAGTTTAATAAGAAATGATCATTGCAATAAATATTTACAAAGTTTCATGGTGATAAGGAGTTACCAACTCTGCTTATGAAGTAAGGATAAGAAGCCTTCGAAGAGGGGAACCCTTCAGATAGATCATGAAGAGTAGGGAGGAGTTTGCCGGGGTCAGTGCGGGGGAAGTATTCTAGGCAGAGGGAACAGAATGCTTAGGGGCATGAAAGTACATGGTCTGTTCATGGAACAACAACTAGTTCTGGATGGATGGAATATAGGAGACATATGTAGTGTAGTGATTATTTACAAGGCTCAGGTTCAAATGCTCATCTTAGATCACTGGCACAGTGTGGAAAATGGATGGGCTGGGGAGGGCTGATGCCAGATGAGAGATGATGGAGACTTAAAACTGGCTGAGGCATTGGCAGTAGGCGTGAAATGAGAGGTACCTCTTGGTGACTGATTGGATAATGGAAAGTAAAAAAAAAAAAAAAAAGTGTAATCTAGGTTTCTGACTTAGGTGATTGGGTAAATGGTGATGGCCATTCACTGAACAGATTGAGGGTGGAAGGTAGGAGAAATAGCTAAGTTCGGTTGGGAAGCATGTGTGTTTAAACTATGATAGGTAGAAAGCTTAGGATTTGTGCAAACTTGGGAGTAGGTGAGATCACACAGGAAGCCTGTGTAGAGTCAGAACAGTATGGAGGGCAGAATGCTGGTATAGACCAATTTTTAGGGGTGGTCAGAAATAGAAGGGAAACTTGAAGAATGATATTTCTTAAACCAAGGAAGGAGGTTTAAAGGAAAAAAGAAAAAGACTTAGCATCTATACCACAGAGAAGTAAAGTAATATAAAGCCTGAGAGCTTTGGAGTTTGGCAACTAGGAGGTCCCTGGTGACCTTAGCTAGCAAGAGAGTGAGATTAGAAGCCAGCCAGCAGGAGGTTGAGGGACAGATGGAAGATGAGGAAGTGACAAGAGAGATCATAGACTACCCCTTCAAGAAGCTAGGCTGTGAGGAATAAAAAGATCATAGACTACCCCTTCAAGAAGCTAGGCTGTGAGGAATAAAAGAGGGGGAGAGTCTTAAGATGGAAGAAAAATAGGGACTTCCCTGCCTGTCCAGTGGTTAAGACTCTGCACTTCCACTGCAGGGGCCGCAGGTTTGATTCCTGGTCAGGGAATTAAGATCCTGCATGCGGCGCCTGCGAAGCGCAGCCAAAATTTTAAAAAAAGGAAGATAAATAAGTACGCTTACGCTTACGTAGGTTTAAGGGAGAAAGGAATAGAGAAGGAGGGGTTGGAAAAAAGCAAGAGAAGATAATTGTTGGAAAGACCTCTGTGAAAACAGGAAGGAATGTTAGCATAGATAGCATTTCCTCCTATAGGAGAAGAGATCCCCCCCCCCCCGCCCGCCCCAGACAAAGGAAGGAAGGAGTTGGAGTTACAGATCAGCCTATAGATGAGGGAGATAGAAAGTTGGAGGAATTCACACTTCATAGCTTCAGTTTCCTCTGTGGAATAAGTAAAATCATCCTTGTGAGAAAAGTGAAAATGGGATGGGAGCTCGAATAAAAGTGTTGAACTGCTGAGAGAGAGAATGAAAAATCGAAAACCTGCTAAATGTCCATTAGTAGCAGAGAGGTTGAATTACGGTACGTCCAGTCAAAAAATATGCAACTGTTGAAAAAGAATGAGGAAAATCTACATGTGCTAATATGGAAAGATATTCTTGAAGAAATAAGTCTTAGAATAGTAGGTGACATTTAATTTCACTTGTTTAGGAGACAAAAGGAATGTAAATCCATATTTGCATATTCACAGAGAAGATTCCGCATGTTGCGCTTCAAACTGTTAACACTTCTAGGAGTGAGGTAGGGTTGGGGAGGGGCGCATTCTCTTCACTGTAAACCCTTCTATTAATGTTGAAGTGTTTCTTGGTATTTTTTTTTTAATGGTCATGAGGGAAATGGGAGCTGGAGCTGACATGGGATCCATAAAAGGATTGTTATAGGTGTTCAATGAACAAATGAAGTTAAAGGCTGTTTATTTTAAATGGTACCGATTTACTTTATTGTGTGATTTTTCCCCAAAGGTCCTCAGCAACACAGCTGTCATGGTGTAGAAGCAGAAAAGGTAAAGCAGTTTGCATGTGACTATAAATAGTTAGGGATGGTTAGAGCATGGTGCATATGGAAGGGGCTGGCAAAAGCTGAAACTAGAATTAGCCAGGGTCCAGATCATGGAGAGCTCTATATGCTTTGCTAAAGAATCTAGACATAATCCTAAAGGCAGTAGGAATCTATTGAAGGATTTGGATCACTTTAGCTGCAATTTGGGATATGGACTATAGAATAGGACTGGAGATGGTTGTGGCAGTCATTTAAGCAAGATGTGAGTCAGTTGTGAAGCAAGAACAGTGGGCAAAGATTTGAGAGAATTGAGGAGGTAGAATCTACAAGTGGATTGATTAAATGTGGGGGATATTTCAGTCAGTTAGTCAAATGCTGATTGAGCCTGGTGGGTGCCAGGCATTATTCTTCGTGCTCTGAATACAGCAGTGAATAAAACATACCCCCTTCCTTCAGAGTTTAGGATCTAGTGGGGGCGGGGAGACAAGTGAATCAGAGTGAGAGAAGTACTCCGAAGACAAAACAAAGTGATGTGAGAGGGTATGGGGTGAGGGTTCTAACTTAATGGTCAAGGAAGACCTTGCTGAGTAGCTCTCATTGGCGTATAAATATGCATGTATTACTGTGATAAAACATTTTTCTTAATTTGAAAAAGTAAGCAATGAAGGAACCACAAAAGGTACTTTAAAAGACTGGCCAGAGAAGTATGAGGAAACCAGGATACAGTTTTTTGAGATGCCAAAGGAGAATTTCAGAGGATGGAATGGTCAGCAATGTCCAGTATTTGCAGAAAGGTCAGTCAGATAAGGACTGAAATATGTCATTTGGACTTGGCAGTTGGTGAGCCTAATGAAAATAGTTTCTTTGGAATGGTGGATGCAGAAACCAGATGGCAAGTGGGTTTAAGAACTGAATTGAATGTGAAGTAGAAACAGAGCTTGATTTGATTAAATAATAGCTATCATTCACTGTGCCAGCCCCTCTGTGCAGAGAGCTCTTCTTACCTGACCTCATTTAATCCTGAACCATCTATGAGATCAATATTATTCCCATTTTACAAATGAGGAAACTTCCTCAGGAGCACCAAGGGTAGAAGAGATTAGCCTTAGCCTAGAGAAGGGCCGTCTTTAAATTAAGACCAGAAAGATGGGTACTGGATATAGAGAAGCAGTAGGAAGGAAACCATGACTCTGGGCATTGTGGACCATGGTAAGGAGTTTTGTCTATATTCTAAAAGCAGTGGGAAATTTTTCAGTGGGAGTGGGGTGGAGCCTGAGAAGGTAACGTCAGGATTGTGTTTCCAAAACACCAGTTCCATATCAGTGTAAAAATAGACACATTTTTTTCCTATTGGTAGTTTAATCTCCTTTGGCAATTCCAGGGTCTTTGGTATTACGGTGCAAATATTTGCCTAAATATAATAATCTTGTTTCCCCCTGACGTTGAAGATAAGCCACTGGTGTACTGGTACTGATTCCCAGGCCCCAGTTCAACCTTCTTGAGTCAGAATGTCTGGGGAAGACTGGTGGTGTGTATATTTTACAGATGGCCCAAGTGATTTTTTGGCCACGCCACGCAGCTTGTGGGATATTAGTTCCCCGAACAGGGATTGAACCCGTGCCCTTGGCAGTGAAAGCACAGAATCCTAACCATTGGACTGCCAGGGAATTCCCTCCAAGTGATTCTTATCTGAGAAGTTTGGGAAACTGATTCAGCAGCATTCCCAAATTTATGCTATCCTCTGTATCAGCTGTTGTTGCCAAAATTTTAGCTCTCTGTGCACCAGTGCCAAACAGAAATATGGAGACAGAGTGATGGAGGAGAAAGAAAGAGTGGCTTTATTTCTTTGCCAGGCAAAGGGGAACACAGTAGGCTAGCGCCTCAAGAACTGTGCCCCCCTTCACTGGGGAATAGGGAGAAGTTGTATAGTCAGGGGTAGTGGTCAGAGGTATGTGATAAGATCAAGGCAGTAACAGTCTTGCATTCTTCCTTCTTCTGCAGAGTTTCAAAAGGGTGGGGTTGCTGACAAGATTAGGGTGTGTTCAGGGTCTCCTAATCTCCTGAGCTTCTCTGGTCACTTTAATCTTGCCTCAGGTGGTTTTGTGGCTGCTCCTCCCTTGATTAGCAACTGTTCAGATCTGCCCTTTGGAACTCAGGGAAGGTCATGGAGGCTGGAGTCTTGCTTACAAGAAATGGGGGACAAAAAGGCCTCCCGGCCCGGGAGCCCCAGAGGGCCCTACTCAGCATCGGTCCCTTCCTTTTCTTTGATATTCCTCAATCTTGAGGAGAACAGGTGTTGGACAAGAAAAGGGAACAATCGTTTTGGATAGAGATGTTAATCGTAAACTCGGCAGAGGAACTCAGCTTTAGGGGGACTCGGTTTTCATCCCCACTTCAGCTGTATCTTTCCCCAAATCTTTTAGGGAACGGGGCGACAGCAGCTTTAACTACTTCTTGCTGAGCTGGGGCGTATTCCTGCCTAAATTTTGGGGAACAGATAACAAATTAGAAATATTTGAGTTCCAAGTCCTGGATCAGAGTCTTGTGTGATTAAGAACTCAAACCTTTGTTTTGCCATTTTGGTGTAGCAGACCCAGTTAGAAGTAAGAGGAGTGACAACTAGAACGTTAGTAGACAGAACAGATCTCATTTCCTTGGGAATTCAGGGGAGTAAGTCTGAAGCCCAGTCTGGAACCGGCACTTCAGAGAGACTTATTGTAGCCAGTTGTTTCCAAACCATTCCCTGTATGGGGAAAACCTATCAAGGCAATCCTGAAGACCCAGAAATAGGAAGCTGACCACATGTCTAGCAGTTAGAATTATCGAAATAATCAGCATATGAGTCTATAGGTAGAAGGTATGAGAAAGGATAAGAAAACAACTTTCATTCCACTTGTCGGAACAAATACTTAAAGTTTCCCAAAGGGTGAGATGTCTGTTTCTCAGGAGTCTGTGCTGGCTGTAGGCAGGCTTGGCTGGTCAATAGCTGATAATCTTCTTACTCTGGTATGATGTACCCACGGTTTTACTCTATCTAATTTTAGAGAGGCTTGAGTAGTAAGAAGAACGTGCTAAGATAAGATCCCTTTCATTTTTTTCTTCAGGCTGCTGCTGCTGCTCAGGTCATTGCTCTTTTTCATACTTCAGCAGCACCCCGTCTCCCGCTTTGAAGGGAGGTAAGAGAGCTTCAAGGGAAGGGGAAATGAGCCAGGTCCAGGATCTCGGGCAAGCTGTCTACTTCTGATGTCGTCGTCTTCTCGCCCTGGTGTGAGTGTAGTTTCTCCTTTGTTTGAGCATTGTTTCGAGGTGATTTTCAAGGTCAGCCATCCTCTCTATAGGCCACTCCAGTGCAGGGGCCCTTTGTGAGTGGAAATTAATCCAAAAGTCAATTCCCTTCAGTTTTGCTGTGCATAAGCTAGTTAAGAGTACCTGAAAAGGGTCGTCCTCTCCAGGTTGGAGATAGTCCTTTAAATTTTGTCTTTTCCAGTATGCATAATCCCCTGGTTGCAGGTCATGGGGCATCTGATCTTCATCCAAAGAAATTACGGAGATAAGATTCAGAAACAAACTTAGAGTATCCTTTAATAATTCAATTAAACTCCGCTCTGGCTCCGGATAAGCAGCGGCTTGGTGTGGGCTGCGCGGAGAATGGATGCCCTCGTGACCTAATGTCCGGCAGGCTGTAGGGCCTGCCGACCCGGCTCACAGGGAATCGACCGGCTGCCTGAGTGCCCGCGCCACCCGCTACCATGAACGAGGAGGCCATCTGCAGTGCCCTGCCCACCATCCCGCACCACAAGCTCGCCGACTTGCGGTACCTGAGCCGCGGCGCGTCCAGCACAGTGTCTTCTGCCCGCCACGCAGACTGGCGCGTTCAGGTGGCCGTGAAACACCTGCACATTCACACCCCGCTGCTGGACAGTGATTGGTGAATTATTCTCTGTAACCTGACTTCTGCCCAATGAGTGGACCTTCCCCAACAATCTCCCAACTCCTTATCATGAGTAGAGTGCTGCCATGTCATGAGGACATTCAGAGAGCCAGTGGAGAGGCCTATGTGACAAAGAAAGAAGACCTGACAGCAACATGAGCAATCTTGGAAGGGGACTCTCCCCCAGTTGATTTTTTTTTTTGTTTTTTTGGTTTTCTTGGCTGTACGCTGGCCTCTCACTGTTGTGGCCTCTCCCGTTGTGGAGCACAGGCTCCGGACGCACAGGCTCAGCGGCCATGGCTCACGGGCCCAGCCGCTTCGCGGCATGTGTTTCTACAGAAACTGAGATAATGTCTGTTCTAAAAAATAATAATAATGGTAATGATTCGATTAAACTTTACATTAATATAACAGCAAAGAACTACGTGGGAGATGAGTCTTAGTAATTACAGATCTCTATTAACAAAACTGGGATTTAACATTCATTGCAAAATCTTTTTCACTCTAAAATTACCCTCTTTTTTACTAAATGTAACCAAATTAAAGCTAAATGGTTTGCAAAATAAGTGTGGTCTCAGTAAACTTGGTTTGATGATTTATATAACTGTAATTGATCATATAGACTTTTTACTTGCTGAAACTTTTTTTTTTTTTTTTTTTTTTGTGGCATGTGGGCCTCTCACTGTTGTGGCCTCTCCCGTTGCAGAGCGCAGGCTCAGCGGCCATGGCTCACGGGCCCAGCCGCTCCACGGCATGTGGGATCTTCCCGGACCGGGGCACGAACCCGTGTCCCCTGCATCGGCAGGCAGACTCCCAACCGCTGTGCCATCAGGGAAGCCCCCAGTTGAGCTTTGAGATGACTGTAGCCCCTGCCAATATTTTGATGGCAGCCTGCCTGAGAGCCGGAGCCTGAGGCTTTGACACTCCCAGCTAAGTTGCACCTGTTTTCCTATGTCTGTTTCTACAGAAACTGTGAGATAATGTCTGTTGTTCTAAAAATAATAATAATGATTCGATTAAACTTTACATTAATATAACAGTAAAGAACTATGTGGGAGATGAGTCTTAGTAATTACAGATCTCCATTAACAAAACTGGGATTTAACATTCATTGCAAAATCTTTTTCTCTCTAAAATTACCCTCTTTTCTACTAAATGTAACCAAATTAAAACTAAATGGTTTGCAAAATAAGTGTGGTCTCAGTAAACTTGGTTTGATGATTTATATAACTGTAATTGATCATATAGACTTTTTACTTGCTGAAACTTTTTTTGTGTGTGTGTGTGTGTGGCATGTGGGCCTCTCACTGTTGTGGCCTCTCCCGTTGCGGAGCACAGGCTCCGGACGCGCAGGCTCAGCGGCCACGGCTCACGGGCCCAGCCGCTCCGCAGCATGTGGGATCTTCCCAGAACGGGGCACGAACCCGTGTCCCCTGCATCGGCAGGCAGACTCTCAACCACTGCGCCACCAGGGAAGCCCTTGCTGAATCAACTTTTATAAGGAGTCTCAGACTGGACTTTTAAAGGACCTCTCAGGGCTAGGAAAGTCACACCAAGGGCTTATCACAGATTTTTGCCTAACCGATGTAGGTGAATTTCTCCCTTTTCAAGGTCTCCAAAATACCTTGGGATTTCTGTAACCACTAGTGGGGTAGCCTTCCTAATTTATCTGATAAAGCTGCAGGGAACCTAAGAGTTTCCAAACTCTGGAGGGAGCAGATAGATAAGATAAATGTTTCAATTCTGCTTACAAAAAAGTATAATTTACCAAATTCCTGTAAGTTATAATGAGTTTGAGGGGAAGGTCTCCTTATACCTGGAAAACACAGATTTAAACCGGTAATTTTTTCAGATAGAAACCATAAAAATAACCATATTCACCAGTTCACTCCATCCTATATAACTAATCCTTTTTTGGTTAACAGCTTTATGAGGCCATCAGGTTTTTCATTAGAATTCTTCAATTTCTTACCCAGTTCAGCATTATGGTCTGAAAGTCAGAAACTTGTATATATCCAAAAGTCCTTTCTATAAATCTTCTTGAAGGGGAAGCATTTTTTGCAAAGGCATTAGATTGAAACCGTAAGTGTCTATAATGACAAAAGACTTACGAAGGCACGTTAAGGAACCTCCATACTGTTCTCCATAGTGGCTGTATCAATTTACATTCCCACCAGCAGTGCAAGAGTGTTCCCTTTTCTCCACACCCTCTCCAGCATTTGTTTCTAGATTTTTTGATGATGGCCATTCTGACCGGTGTGAGATGATATCTCATTGTAGTTTTGATTTGGGCATATACCCTGAGAAAACCATAATTCAAAAAGAGTCATGTACCAAAATGTTCATTGCAGTGCTATTTACAATAGCCAGGAGATGGAAGCAACCTAAGTATCCATCATCGGATGAATGGATAAAGAAGATGTGGCACATATATACAATGGAATATTACTCAGCCATAAAAAGAAACGAAATTGAGTTATTTGTAGTGAGGTAGGTGGATGGACCTAGAGTCTGTCATACAGAGTGAAGTAAGTCAGAAAGAGAAAAACAAATACTGTATGCTAACACATATATATGGAATTTAAGAAAGAAAAAAAAGTCATGAAGAACCTAGGGGTAAGATGGGAATAAAGACACAGACCTGGTCTTCCCTGGTGGCGCAGTGGTTGAGAGTCTGCTTGCCGATGCAGGGGACACGGGTTCGTGCCCCGGTCCGGGAAGATCCCACATGCCGCGGAGCGGCTGGACCCGTGAGCCATGGCCGCTGAGCTTGCGTGTCCGGAGCCTGTGCTGTGTAACGGGAGAGGCCAAAACGGGAGGGGCCCCCCGACCCGAAAAAAAAAAAAAAAAGACACAGACCTACTAGAGAATGGACTTGAGGATATGGGGTGGGGGAAGGGTAAGCTGTGACAAAGTGAGAGAGTGGCATGGACATATATACACTAACAAACGTAAAATAGCTAGCTAGTGGGAAGCAGCCACATAGCACAGGAAGATCAGCTGGGTGCTTTGTGACCACCTAGAGGGGTGGAATAGGGAGGGTGGGAGGGAGGGAGGCACAAGAGGGAAGAGATATGGGAACATGTATATGTATAACTGATTCACTTTGTTATAAAGCAGAAACTAACACACCATTGTAAAGCAATTATATTCCAATAAAGATGTAAAAAAAAAAAAAAGAATACTTTGGAGGGAGAAACCAAATCCAGTCTTGTTCTAGCCCATTCCTATTGAAATCCATGTACCCAACTAAATTTAGTCCAGCCTTAGAAAATCCTGATCATGTATTACTCTTTTCAGTATTTTTCATTCTTCACACATTTTTTTAATGCTTTTTTAAAAAAATTATTTAGTTTATTTTTGACTGAGTTGGGTCTTCGTTGCTGCGCGCAGGCTTTCTGTAGTTGTGGGAGCGGGGTCTACTCTTCGTTGAGGTGCGTGGGCTTCTCATTGCGGTGGCTTCTCTTGTTGCGGAGCACAGGCTCTAGGGCACGCGGGCTTCAGTCGTTGTGGCTCACGGGCTCTAGAGCGCAGGCTCACTATTTGTGGCGCACGGGCTTAGTTGCTCCACGTCATGTGGGATCTTGCAGGACCCGGGCTCGAACCCGTGTCCCCTGCATTGGCAGGTGGATTCTTAACCACTGCGCCACCAGGGAAGCCCTTCACACCTTTTACTAAAAACACATATCTTACTTTCCTTAAAAGTTTTTCCCCATTGAGTTCCTTTTCTTGTTGACAAATTTGTAATAGATACAGAATAAGGTCTTATTTGACCTCTAGTAAACCTAGGTGTACAACAGAAGTATTATACTTGACATTGATGACTCTGACATATCTATATTAATCAAACCAACAAGCTTCAGCCACCTTCAATACCAGATATCTGTTTAGTACTGAATATTTTCCAGATGACATGAACCTGAAATTCATTCTAGCCAGATTATTTTCTATTTCTGAGTATTTACATAAGCACTTAATTTTTTAAAAAGCCAACTAGTAGAGCTCTTTTACGAATTCATTTTTGGCAATACCATACACCTACAACACACATATAGACACTTACGAACACACAAACCAACATAGAGGCCTCATAGTTTCTGTTCGAATTTCAGCCCTGAGTCAGGTACAACATAAAAGCCATCAGTTACAAGGGGTTGGATTCAAATTGGGTTTCTAGCAGATGGAACACATCAAGGTCACCTATCTAGATGTTTAAACCCTTTTTACTAGTGTTTACAGAAGAAAAGACACTTAAGATTTCTATTTATCCTTGACAAGTCAAATTCTAAATTACTTTACCCTTTTTAAAATTTCCAGTTTAAAAAGATGGCAGAGGTTAAGTGTTCCTGAGAAGACCAGATAGGACATTTGCATCTCAATGGTACAGGCAAGTTCCTCCTAGGATGACTTTGTTTCCCTTTTGTTTAATACTTATAAGCCTCTTAAGATAAATAGGGAAGGTTTTGGGAGTGGTGAAAGAGATTGGTGGGTTTTGGATTATTTTCGGAGCCACACCTCTGGTCCTGTAAAGACTACATTTGTAAAACAAGGACAGTTTTGTTTTCTTTTTCAACGAATTGGGTGGCTACCTCAATGATATTGAAGGACTGACATACCCATTCACCCATGTTGGAAAGCTTTACTTTTCCTCATTTAGCTTAGGGGAGGAGTCCTCTTCCAAAATTCCTATCAGGCTCTGAATATCAGCTATGGTTAGTTTAGTCAGACCAGTGGCCTCCTATTTTGGCAATCTATTTATAAACATTTTTTGAGGATCTTCCCTACGTTTAAGAAATTGGTACCTTATATTTAGACACTGTATAACCCTTCTACTTAATAATCACTGGCTGGATATCTTTGGCCAAGCCGGGAACCTCGATATTCCACGTTCCAGGGTCTAATAAGGCTTATCAGAACAATCTGAAGGAGTAAGGGAACGTGCAGAAGTGGGGGAGGCTTGTTTTCCTCCCTGAGCCAGGAGAGTTCTTCTGATTCCTCAGGCTTTCAATTATAGGAGAAAGTCCTGGACATAAGGGAACCTCAGTCCATTTTCCCATCCTGTGGCAATAAAGATCTAATTGTAAGAGACCCACTTTTAGGCCATTTTTCTTTGTCATTGGATCATAGCCATAGGTTGACCAGTCATTCAAAATTTTTTCTAAGGGGCTCCCAGGTAGGGGTGGAACCTTACAGGAAGCGCTTCCCATTCTAGCTTGAGCAGTTAGTAACATGTCTGCGCGCTCAAATCAAAGTAACCAAACGAACCCAAACCTTGCCAGCTGGAAGCCACACTCAAAATTAAAAATATCAGCAGAGAGATGCCCAGAAATCAAAAACCAAATGGCAAAAAGGCCCTAAATGTGACTTCCCAGTCCCAGTAGACCTGTGACCTTTGTCCGAAGCGGCGCCTTACAAATGGAATTTCCCTTCACAGGGAGAACTCCCCAAACTGGAACTGAAGTTCCCCAAACGAACAAAGTCAAAGAGGCCACGGTGTGCATTCCAGGGAACTTACCAAATTGCTGGCAGATTTGTTGCGACGTACCAAACGCCCTCTTTTTGATCCTCCAAGAGTTAATGTTGTCTCAGGGTAGATGTCCGGGCTGATGCGGAGAAGGGAGAAGGAAGGTGTCCTCAAGGCAAAGAAAGCCTCGGCAGCTGCTAGGGCAACCTCTCCCCCGATCTCCGCCGCAGCCATGGAGTTCTGCAGCTGAGACGGCGGGTCGGGTATGATCGGGGCAGGGCCCTATGGCAGGGGAACCCTGGCGATCTGGCCTCAGAGAAATCCTCCAACCCTCTGCTCTCCCTGGGGAGGGTGATGTGGAGAGAAATCCCTGAGCAACCGATCAAACCGAGGGCCCTACGGGGCCTCCTGCCCACGAGTCAATCCCGGACGAGCCCCTAAATTTGTTGCCAAAATCTTGGCTCTCTGTGCAGCAATGCCAAACAGAAACATGGAGACAGAGTTATGAAGGAGAAAGAGTGGCTTGCTTTCTTTGCCAGGCAAAGGGGAACACAGTAGGCTAGCACCTCAAGAACTGTGCCTCCCTTCACTAGGGAATAGGGAGAGGTTATATAGTCAGGGGTAGTGGTCAGAGGTATGTGATAAGGATCAAGGCAGCAACAGTCTTGCATTCTTTCTTCTGCAGAGTTTCAAAAGGGTGGGGTTGCTGACAAGATTAGGGTGTATGC